GAGACCTATAATAGCAGTATGTTATGCATTAATAGCAGCACCAGCTTTTCCAGGTTCTGCAGTCATCTGAACAAAATTATATACATTCAGCACATTCCATTAAAAAAAAACAAAGAAAAGAATAATAACCAGAAAACAGCACAGTTCTGTTGCTGTTGTGGTACCTGGTACTATTTTTTAAAAGTTAGCATTTTAATCATCATCTGGAAAGAGAACATTCTAGAGTAATATCATTAAATATGGTTCTGATAAAGCACGGTCACTACTACTTATAAAGCAGGTACAAGATATTTTACATTCACAGAGGTATGATACAGTACCATCCTACATCACAATGATAATGTTTTTTACTTTGCTTTATTTTATAGCAAAGGGGACTGAACCAGGGTTTTGTGTATGCTGGGAAAGTCTTCTACCATTGAGCTGCATCCTAGCCCTACTGTGTCATTTTTTTTTATTACTTAAGATTAATTTAAACTTGCTTTCCCTAAGAATCATTGAGTATCTACTGTTTACTTAACAATGAAGATGTTAAATATTTTATCCAATATCTTATATTCTTGATCGTCAGATTCTTTTCTCAGTTGTTCCTTACCCTGTGAAATGATTTATTGTAGGTGGCCACAAATAGCCGAGTTTACTTATTTGACATTTTCCTTCTGGGAAGTCGAGCTTTCAGCAATGGACTTCAGATGGTATTAGAAGACAAAAGAATTTTAAAGGCAAGTGTGTAAGCTGATTCCTCTGCTAGTAAGAAAGCATTCAGGTTCTAATTACTCTGTCTTCATCTTCTCATTCCTTAGGTTATCCACGATTGTCGCTGGCTTTCTGATTGCCTCTCTCATCAATATGGGATCATGCTAAATAATGTCTTTGACACACAGGTACATAAAGGGAAACATTGGATTCGCCAGTGAATGTAACCTCTGATAAGTGCTTAAAAGTCTTTTTTATAAAAATCTTTTTGTGTGCCTTACTCCTGCCCACTTCTCATTGTATAAGAATGTGAGAATATTTGGTAAGCTATGAAAAACACTGCAAAAAGTTACTTAATGTTATTTAGGAGCCAGGCATGGTGACGCATACCTGTAATCCCAGCAGTCAGGAGGCCAAGGCCGGAGGATTGCTGTGAGTTCGAGGGCAGCCTGGGCTACATAGTGAATTCAAGGCCAACCTGAACTACATAGTGAGACTCTCTCAAAACAAACAATCTATGCTTCATAGCATTCAGAAACTCGAGCAGTTTTGCGCAGATAGAAAGTCTGACATAGGAGAGTTAGTGTGAAATGGAAAATCGCCTCTCTGCCTTTACCACATATGTTCCTTCGTGGAGTAGGTTCTGGTGTGAAGCAGCCAGAAGAGATGTATTGACCCTCATCCAGTGGACCTTAGAGAAATGGCAAGTCCTGGACTACAGCAGCTTTCAGAGCTGAACTATTTCTCTGGTTTGTTGGTGACAGCAGTAAAACCATGAGTTTCTATTGCCTACCTTGCTGCTTTTCTCATTTTCTTCTCTCTTCCCTTCCTCCCTTTTTCCTTCTTTGTGCTGGAAGTTGAACCCAGGGCTGCCTCATGCACGCTAAGCCCATATTCTGTCCCTGAACTGCCCCCAGCCCCTCAGTGTGTTTTCTTGAGTTTGTTCTAGTGTTTTGGTTTTAGGTTTATGCCAATGAAAGGAAATTGTTGTTTTTGTTTTGCAGTACTGGGGACTGAATCCAGGCATGCTCTACCACTGAAGTATTGTCCCAGTCCATTTTAAAAATTTTTATTTGAGTCAGGGTCTTGCAGAATTACCCAGTCTGGCCTCAGAGTCACAGCACAGGGGATTACAGGCATGTGCCACCAGACCTGACTACCATCAGATTTCTTTTTATTTTTTAGCCATCAAATTTCTTGATTGAGGTTTATATGTATGTCCAGTGAAGTCTTCAGCATATCTTTCCATATTTTTCTTTTCAGATTTGTCATAGTGGGCAGCCAGGCATGGTGGCACATACCTGAAATCCCAATACTTGGGAGGCTGAGCCAGGAGGATTGCTGTAAATTTGAGGCCAGCCTGAGCTACAGAGTGAATTCAAAGACAGCCTGAACTACATACATACCAAGACCTTGTCTCAAAAAAAAAAAAGGATTTTTCATAGTACAAGAATTTTCACCAGTTTGCCTGTAATTCTAGCACCCTGAGTAGTCAGGCTTTAGGATCACGAGCTCAAGCACAGCCTGAGGAATTTGGCAATTTAGTGAGACCCTGTTTTAAAAAAGGCTTGGTTTTCTAAAATGCTGGGAGTCATCCTTGTTAGTGTAGTGGTGAGTATCCCTGCCTGTCAAAAGTGCCAGGAATGCAGCTCAGTGCAGAGGCTGCAGGTTCAGTCCCTAGCATCACACACAAACAAATTTTACCGATTTTTTTCTTCTAACTAAATATATTAGTTCCCTGTTGTTGCCAAGCTTTTGTGACCTAAAACAGCACAAATTTATTTGTGGAGATCAGAAGTCCCCAAATGGTTTTTCCTGGGGTCAGGTCAAAGTATCAGCAGGGTTTTGCATGACACCTCTCGGGAGAGGCTGTTTTCTTGCATTTCCAGCATCTAGTGGGGACTTGTATTCCTTAGCCTGTGGTCCTGTCCTCCATCTTCAGAGTGCAGTGTTCTGATCTCTGTTTCCACCCGTGTCACCTTTGCATCTCCTTTGGCCACAGTAAAATCTCCCTCTGCTTCTGTCTTCAAAGACACTTGTGATTACCTTTCAGGACCTCCCAGGTGATTCAGGATAATCTTTTCAAAAGATCCATAGTTTATTTGAAGCAGCAAAGTCCCTTGTGCAGAACTGTCTTCAGGTGGGGTGGATCTGACAAGGTCCTCAAAGTGGAGATGGGGCCTAGGGCTTTGGCCCAGCACCCCAGAAAAGCCTTTCAGGACATGTCAGGGAGAAGCTCAGGCAGGTGTGTCAGGCAGAATGAAAACGTGCACACTCAGCTGCGGATGGGCCCTCGAGAAGTGAGCCACACTGTGGCCTAGGGCTGGGGGTGATTGTGGTCTCGAGGTGTTCCTAAGGTGTTTATGTATTTTTTAAGTTATTTATAACTTACCTTGTGTCTCTTTCCTTAAGGTCAGGTTGCCCATTACTGGGCTAAAGTAAAAACTGGCTTTATCGACTAGGTTAAAATGCATACCCATTGGTAGGGGATGGTGGTGCACGCTTGCAATCCCAGGACTCAGGAGGCTAAGGCAAGAGGATGGGTCACTGTGAGTTTGAGGCCAGCCTGAGCTGCATAGCAAGACCCTTTCTCCAAAAAAAATAAATAAAAGCGGACCTATTGACAAGATAGCACAAAACTTTCTCTTCAGTGAACTAAGAAATTAGTAGTATAAATGAAACAAAGTAGCATATATATTAAAATATTTCCAGGGGGCCAGGGATTTAGCTCAGTGGTGCCATGCCTGCATGACAAGCACAAGGTCCTGAGTTCGATTCCCAGTACTTGAAAAAAGAATATATTTTTGAATCAACAGAATAGGTAATTTGGGAAATTGTTTGGAGTTCTCCCTATGTCCCTGTTTATCTGTTTGTGTGTTTGTTTTTTAGTACCTGGGATCGAACTCCAGACCTTGCACTTGTCAGGCAGGCAGCAGAACCACTGAGCTAAATCCCCGGCCCATGTCCCTATTTATCTTCTATTTTGTGTTCTCCCTCTCCCTCCTTCTTCTCTATCTCTCTATCTCTGTCTCTCTTTAAGAGAATCCTGCAATATTTGAGACCTTATGAACGTCTTCAAGTTTTATCTTTCTTTATGGCAGAGTTGTACTCCATTGTGTAAATGCATTTTGTTTATCTGTTCATCTGAGTAACATTTTGGCAGCTTTTTTTTTTTTTTTGTCTTTATTGAGACAGGGTCTTACTATGCAGTTCAGGCTTGTCTTGAACTCATTATGTAGCCCATACTGGCCTCAAACTTACAGCGATCTTCCTGCATCAACCTTCTGAAAGCCGGCATTACAGGTATGCACCACCACAGCCGGTAACAGTTCTTTGAAGATTTTTATATAAGCCGGGAGTGGTGGTACATGCATATAACCCCAGCATTTGGGAAGGTTGAGGTAGGTGAATCACTGTGAGTTAAGGGCCAGCCTGGGCTGCACAGTGAGTTCAAGGCCTGCCAAACTAGATAGCAAGATCTGGTCTAAAAAAAAACCCAAAAGCCAAAGAACAAACAGATTACAATATAATATACAGTGTATTAACTATTATTCTCTATTTTGTTAGGAAATTTTAATTTTTTCATAAAAGTAAGAAGAGTGCTTTTATATTTTCTTTATTAACATCTGTTCATATTACATTATGGTAAATATGAAAAGATGTTTAAAATGCATACTCATTTGTAAGTGTTTGTTTGCAGATATGGTACCAAATTAATACCAGCAGTACTGTTTATTTCAGAGTGGAAGTCCTTGGGATTTGTGGATTATAGAATTAGAAGAAAACACAGGTCAGGTCAGGGATTTAGCTCAGTGGTTCTTCCGCCTGCTTCTCAAGTGCAAGGACCCAACCTTGATCCCTGGTACCAAAAAAGGGGGGGTGGGGTTTGGCTTAGTGGTTCCACTGCCTGCCTCACAAGCACAAGGACCTGAGTTTGATCCCCAGTACCAAAAAAAAAGAAGAAGAAAACACAGGTCAAATCTATGGATTTACTGTATCTTTTTATTTTATTTTATTTTTGGTTTTTTGAGACAGGGTCTCACTATGTAGTTGAGACTGACCTGGAACTCACTATGTAGTCCAGGCTGGTCTTGAACTCACAGCGATCCTCCTGCCTCAGTCTCCCCGAGTGCTGGGATTACAGGCGTGTGCCACCACTCCCGCATCTATTAAATCTTTTTAAATATTTATTTTCATTAGTATATGTTTACAGTATATAATGATTACATTCATTGGGTTTTACTGTATCTTGGCAGCAGTTTAAGAGTGAGAAGTCTAAGGGGGAAAAACAGGTGTAAGGGTGAAAAAGGCACTGTAACCTTGGATAACTTTGTGTCTTTTTTTTTTGGTACCGGAGATTGAACTCGGGTCCTTGCGCTTGCAAGGCAGGCCACCGAGCCGCTGAGCTAAATCCCCAGCCCAATAACTTTGTGTCTTGAAGCTGCAGTTTTCTTAAAATTTATAACTTCCTGGGTCAGGGATTTAGCTCAGTGATGCTGCCACCTGCTTTGAAAGCGCAAGGCCCTGAGTTCAAGCCCTGGCACCAAAAAACCATTGATAATTTCCTTATCTGCTTTCTACGTATCTATATTGGTTATTTTTCTCATTGCTAAGACAAAATACCCAATACCCAGAGTGGGAGGAAAGGTTTATTTTGGCTCACAGTTTGTAGAGGTTTCAGTCCATTACCTGCTGGCTGCAAGGCAGGGTGGCATAGCAGACAGACATCACAGAGGAGAAACAGTTCTTGGCAGGCAGAAGGCAGCAGAAGAAGCAAGGAACAAAGGGACATGCAACAGCCCTCTTTCTGTCCATTATATTCCACCCAGGTACCTGCCCTTAGGAGTGGGCAGCGCTCACGCACCCTTGATCCCAGCATCACACACTTAGTCTCAACATCACAAAGTCTAGATCAGCCACCTCTGAAAAGCCCCACCTGTGACTGCATGTGGCTCTGAGGGGACATCTAGACACAAAGCATAATAGTATCTTTATTTCTTCATTCTTTGTATCAGTTAACATTAAGCGTTCCAATCCTTGGTACCCACCCCCCAAAAAAAGCGTTCCAAAGATTTGGATGTGAGTATCTTGGGGATCATTATTTAGTCTACCATGTATAAATAAAGTTATCACACTTTTTAATTTTATTCGCTTTCCTTACCAAAACTTTAGCAGAATTGCTTATAAATAATAAAATAATTCTTGAATTTTATTTTTCTTTCCCATTCTCCAAAAGCCATAAAGTGTAACAACCTAACAGGCAAAAGAAGTAGAAAAGAAAGTAGACACAAATACATGGGTAATCTTTTTTTTTTCTTTCTTCACATGGGTAATCTTGCTTTAAAATTTTGTTTTTCAAAAATAAGTTGTCTGAACAACTTGTTTTGGACTCTCATATGGATCCTTGGGGAAAATGGTCTTTAAAGACATTTTTCTAAAATCTTGCTATTTCTGGAATGGGATAGTTTTCTGTATATATTTGACTGAATGGTTTTTCTTTTTGTATTACCACAGGTAGCAGATGTCTTTCAGTTTTCCATGGAAACTGGTGGCTTTCTTCCAAACTGCATCAGTACTTTACAGGAAAGTTTAATAAGACACCTTAATATAGCCCCTAAATATCTCTCCTTTCTAGAAGACAGACAAAAACTGATTCAGGTGAGTGTCAGAGGGTGTCTCATTTGATGATAATTTTTTTCAAGGGTTTTCTGAACAGGATTTTTTTCAAGGGTTTTCTGAACAGGATTCACTATTATATAGTGAAAAGACAGCTGCATGTAAGTGTATGAGAATCGACAAAATCTTAGTTGTGCTAGAGAGGAACAGTTGGTGGTTTTGAGTGGCTGGCTAAAAGCTAGGATACAGGCCCGCAGATTTAGCTCAGTGGTTCTGCTGCCTATCTCACAGGCGCAAAGTCCCAAGTTCGATTCCTGGCACCCCCCCCCACAAAAAGATAATAATAAAAGCTAGGATCCAGATCTGTTGGTTATCACCTAAAAAGGACTCTGAAATAAAATTTCAAGTTGAGATGAGAAATTTTGTGATAATTTGGATTAGTGCAATGGGATCAAAATCATCCCAATTGTTTCTCACAAAGAAATATAAATTTTCTTGCCAGGCATGGTGGTGCACACCTGTAATCCCAATACTTAGAGGCTGAGACAGAAGAATCTCTTTAGAGTTCAAGGCCAGCCTGGACTACGTAGTGAGACCTTGTCTGAAAAACTGTGTGTGTGTGTGTATTCTGTTGCCTCCCAACTTTTTTTTTCTTTTTTTTTTTTTTGTGAGACAGGGTCACTGTGCAAGTTCATCTTGGCCTTGAGCTCAGGTTGGCCTCAAACTCACAGTGATCTTTCTACCTCAGCCTTCTGGGTCCTGGGCTTACAAGGCAGGCACCACTATACGTGGATGCTGCCTCTGATTTTAAATGCTGAATCTAGATCAATCCACCTACCTCTTCCTCCTCTTGTTTCATGGACACATTGTAATTGTATGTGCAGTGGGAGGTGTATACTCAGAACGGTACTTATAATGTGAAAGTAAGAAAATGAGTATTTTAAATTAAGGAACCCTATGGGCTGGGAGTGGTGGTACATGCCTGTTACCCAGCTGTTTGGGAGGGTGAGGCAGGAGGATCACAAATCAGAGGCTAGCTGGCAATTTAGTAAGACTCTATTGCAAAATAAATACAGAATTAAAGAGTTGGGGCTGCAGCTCAGTGGTAAAGCACTTGCCTAGTGTGTGTGAGGCCCTGAGTTCATTTCTCAACACAACTGGGAGAAAATGTTTTGGTGTCTCTAGGGAAATCCAGAAGTATGGTTCACACGACCTCTTCCACCCGCTTTACTGAAAATGTTGGCCCTGGAAGTGACCTACCTGCTCCCTCTTCGAACAGCGCTCCTGGATGAGATGATGTCAGACCTCACCACCCTAGTGGATGGGCACCTAAACACCTGCCGGGAAGGGTCTGCAAACCAGCTTGCAGGCACACAGGTAGGTGCAATTGTCTGCGGCATCTTCAGCACCTCTTTTGCTGTTTCTGCCTCTCCTGGGGAGGGCACAAGGGCACAGTGTCACTCGCTCTTCACCACCTCACCAACTTTCATGGGGCAGACATAGTGACAAAATATATATATATAGACAGAGCGCTCACATGTGAAAGTCCACCAAAAAATGTATACACCAGGAAAAGAAAAACTTGTACAAATATTTTAATACTAAATTTACTGAGACATGATGCAATTAATACAAGTTACTTTGGCCTCTACCATTACAAGAGGTGCTCAACGTGGTGGCCATGAGATTCCAGACTTATCTGTATGGCAAACTGCTGAAGTGTGTGTACATTTTTTGGCAGTTTCTCTCTCTCTCCTTCCCTTCATCTTTCTCTCCTCTCTCTCTCCCCCCACTATCTTTAATGGTACTGGCCACAAACTTGTGATCCTGCTGCCTTAGCCTCACAAGTAGCTGGGATTACAAACATGAGCACCACACATATCAACACCAGAAATGAATTGAATCTAGGGCCTTTTGCACTGAACTACATCCCAGCTCTCTTTTTACTTTGAGACAGAGACTCCCTAAGTTGCCTATGCTAGACTCAGACTTGCGGTCCTCCTGCTCCAGCCTCCCAGGGTGCTGGGACTGCATCTATATAACACTGCAGTTTGCCTACACTTGGATTATTTTGACAGACTATGATTCACAGGGTGTGCAGAAACCAATAAGCATGTAAGAATAATCAGGGAATTTTGGAAAAAAGTATAGTGAAGAAGACTAGTTGTGTGGAATATTAAAACATTATAAAGCTGCATCAAAGAAAACAGTTTTTGACTGGTACATGACTGAGGAAGCCCGTGGAAAACAACTGAGAACCCAGAGATAAATTCAATATATATCTGCCAAGATAGTTTTGATAAAGGTAGCATTTCCAAAGGGAAACATAATTATTCTGTAAATGGTCTTAGACAATTGATTTACTATTGTAGGGAAGTAAAATCAGTTATATTGCTTTTTACTTCAAAATAAACTCCATGGATCAAATATTTATGTAAACCGTGAAACTGTAAGGAAAAAGGGAATTGCTGGACATGTGGCATATGGCTGTAGTCTCTGCTGTTTGAGAGATTGAAGCAAGAATATCACCAGCCTGGGCAACTTAGCAACTTTGTGAGAACCTGTCTTACAAAAAAGTCGGGGCCTCTACGAAGAAAGCTATAGTACTCTGAAAAAGGAGATTGAAGAGAATATCAGAAAATGGCAAGGCAGAGCCAATATTAGCAAAATGGCCATATTTCTAAAGCTGTTACAGATTCAATGTGGTCCCGATCAAAATACCAACAACATACTTTATAGAACTTTAGAAAATAGTTCTAAAATTCATATGGAACCAGAAGAGACCCAGAATAACAAAAGCAGTTTTGGACAATAAAAGCAAACCAGGAAGCCTTGCAATCCTTGACTTCAAACTATAGTACAAAGCAATAATGACAAAAATGGCAAGGTGCATGGATCAGTGGAACAGAATTGAGGATACAGAAACATTTCCAGACAGATTCAGCTGTTTGATTCCCACCCACCCCCAGTACTGGGAATTGAACTCAGGCCTTTGTGCTTGAGGCAGGCGCAGCCCCACTGAGCTCAATCCTCACCCCAGCTATTTGATCTTTGACCAATGGGCCCAAAGCATATTTTGGAGTAAAGACAGCTGATTCAAGTGGTGCTGGGAAAACTGCTTATTTGCAGAAGATTCAAACTGGACCCTTTTCTCTCACCATATACTAAATTGAAATAAAAATGGACCAAAGATCTAAACATTAAAAAAAGAAATATTAAACCTACTGGAAGATAAAATAGTTAAGATATTTGAAGACCTAGGTGTGGGAAAGGATTTTCTAAACAGAACCTCAGTTGCACAAGAAATAATAGCACAAATCAACAAATGGGATTATATCAGACTAAAAAGCTTCTATACAGCAAAAGAATCAAGCAGTAGAGTTAAGAGACAACCTACTGAGTGAGGAAAAAAGTTTGCCAGCTAACCTCAGACTGAAGACTAATATCTAGAACAGGAATGGCAAACCTTTTAGAGATGAGTGCCCAAACTGCAACCCCCAAACCCACTTATTTATTGCAAAGTGCCAACACTGTAGTGAAACCTGGATACTGAGGTTTTAGTTTAGAAAAACAACTCATACAGTAACATTTTGTAAATAAATAATGCAGGTACAATAGGTTCATTACTACTGATCTAGAATATATAAAAAAACTAAAAAAAAAAAATTAAACTACCTAAAATTAAAGACCCAGTCAAGAAGTAGATAAGAGAATGCCTAGGCATGGTGGCACATGTCTATCATCCTAGCACTGTGGAGACTGAAGCAGGAGGATCACTGTGAGTTCAGAGCCAGCCTAAACATAGCAAGACCCTAAAACAACAAAAAGAAATGAGCAAGAGAAATGAACAGACACTTCAGAGAGAAGAAAAGACAAATGGTCAACAAATATGTGAAAAAATGTTCAACATCTCTGGCCATTAGAGAAATGCAGATTAAAAACAATGCTAAGATTCTATATTACTCTGGAAAGGATGGCAGCATTAAAAAATCAAACAGCAACAAATGCTGGCATGGCTGTGGTGAAAAGAGAACTCTCCTTCCTTGTTGATAGAAATGTAAACGAGTACAAACAGAATGGAAGTCAGTATGGCGATTTCTTGAAGAACTGGTTAGAAATTCCATATTACCCAGCTATCCCCCTTCTTTGGGGAAGATACCTATCTTCCCCAAAGGGTTTAAGACGTACTACAGCGATACATGCATACCAATGTTTTTAGCAGCACAACTCATAATAGCTAAATCCTGGAAGCAGTCTGTATATCCATCAGTAGATGATTGAGTAAAGAGAATGTGATATCTATGTGCAATGGAATACTACTCAGCTATAAAGAATGACAAATTTGAGACATTTGTAGGAAAATGGATACACCTGGAAAATACAGTGTTGAGTGAAACCAGATACACAGGCTTAAATATAGTATGAGGCAAAGTACAAAGAGAATCATAAAGGATAGATCAAAGGGGACAAAGGGATGAATCTCGCAATAGGGAAGAGGTCCAAGGGAACAAGGGTGAGGGGTGAGGAGGAAGAGAAGGGGAAATAAGTACAGTAAAGATATGCCATGTCCAGGAACCCATAACCTCAATGAATGTAAGCCTTATATACCATAACATGAGCTAAGATTTATAGTATCAACAAGAATGAAAATTGAGATAGCAGAACTAGTGGGGGAGGGAGGGAAGGGAAAGAGAATTAACAACAAAAAAGAAGCTGTAGTATGTATATGTAACCATTCCCCAAGATGACTGTAAACTGCATGTACCGCAAACATGTTCTAATAAAAAATTTTTTTTAGCCAGACGTGGTGGCACACACCTGTAATCCCAGCACTCAGGAGGCTGAGGCAGGAGTATCGCTTGAGTTCGAGACCAGCCTGGGCTACATAATGAGTTCCAGGTCAGTCTCAAATACATAGTGAGACCCTATCTCTAACCCACCCGCCAAAAAAATTTTTTTTTAGGTTTAAAAAAATGTGCCAGGGATTTAGGTCAGTGGTTACTCTGCCTGCTTTACAAGCACAAGGTCCAGAGGTCAATCCTCAGTACCAAAACACACACACACACACACACACACACACACACACACACACACACACACAGAGATCTGTTACAGATGTGACAAAGAGATGACAGCTTTTCTTTTTTCTGACAAAAAATTTAATACCAGATTCCAAGATTATCAAATATATAGTAACCAAACATTTTTTTTTAAAGTCTGGGGATGTAGCTCAGTCATAGAGTATTTGCATAGCATCTATGAGGCTGTGGGTTCACTCCCTAGCACCATAAAACAAAAAAACAAAAGTTTTAAATTTCCACAGCACAGAAGGCTTTTTTTTTTTTTTTTTTTGTACTGGGAATTGAATGGTCCTTGCACTTGCGAGGTAGTTAGTGGAACCACTAAGCTAAATCCCCAGCCCCATAGAAGACATTTTTTTTTTTGAGACAGGGTCTCAATATGTAGTTCAAGCTCACTCTAGCACAGGCTGGTCTTGAACTTCCATGGATCCTCCTGCCTCAGCCTCCCAAGTGCTGGGATTGGGTGTGTTGGTGATATAGTGGTGAGCATAGCTGCCTTCTGAGTGATAGGATTACAGGCATGCACCACCATGCCTGCTAGAAGGCTTTTTTATCATTCCAATTTTAGTATATGTGCTGCCAAAGCAAGCACAAGAAGGCTTTTTTATGCAACAAAATATTTAGAGCCCATAAAAGACTAGTAAATTTGAATTTTAAAATCTTGTTAGCTGAATATTGTGGCATGTACCTGTAGTCCCAGCTCTCCAGTAATCTAAGGCAGGAAAATCTCTTGAGCCCAAAAGTTGAAGGCCAGCCTGGGCAACACAGTGAGATCTTGCCATTCCCTCCCCCATTTTTTTTGTGTGGAATATGTTAAAAGTGGGTACACCTGTAAACCCAGTGCTCCAGGAGGCTGAAGCAAGAACATTGCAAATTTCGGCCCAGGATTTAGCTCAGTGGTGCCACCGCCTACCTTGCAAGCACAAGGTCCAAGTTTGATCCCTGGTAACAACAACAGAAAAAAAGAACATTGCAGAATTGAGCCTGGCCTGGGCAACTTACCAAATGAATGAGAACCTGTCTCAAAATTAAAAAAAAAAAGAAAGTCTGGGGATGCAGCTCAATGTGAAGTCCCTAGGTTCAATCCCCCCTACAACACAGAGACCCTGAAGTCAAAAGGTAAGCCAAGTTGGAAAAATTACTAAATTACTTGTCCCATGTAACAAAATGTACATTTTCTTCATGTACTGTATTTTTGTTTGTTTGTTTGTTTGTTTTTTGGTTTTTTGAGACTGGGTCTCAGTGTATAATTGAGACTGACCTGGAACTCACTATGTAGCCCAGGCTGGTCTTGAACTCACAGCGATCCTCCTGCCTCAGTCTCCTGAGTGCTGGGATTACAGGCGTGTGCCACCACGCCTGGCCCTGTATTTTTTATTTCAGCATTTATATAATGACAAAAGACTGGAAACAACACAAATATCCATCAATAAGGATTTTGTTCAGTAAGTTATGATATATCCACACTACCCTTAAAAATGCCATTAATGCCACTCTCCAAAACAAAAATTTTAGTTAAAAAAGTAAAAGTTCTGGTATATAACCGTATGTAACCATTTATATAGAGTGATTTTAGAAACTTATCAAAAGTAAACATTGGAGGAAAAATAAAAATGTGAACTGGGATTAGGGATGTAGCTCAGTTGTAGACGATTTGCTTACCATGTGTTGGATCCTAGGCACATGAAAGAAAAAAGTACTCTAAAAATTAATTAATTTTTAGAAAGAGTAATTAACAAATATCAACATTTAATAAGGCAATATATGTTAACACGCATGATCATACGTGCATAGACTACCCCTAGAAGATCACACAAGAAACAGCTTTTTGTTTTGTTTTGTTTTGGGACAGGTTCTCACTATGTAGTTTGATCTTGAACTCATTGTGTAGGCCAAGGTGGCTTTGAACTTGTAGTGATCCTCTTGTCTCAACCTCCAAGTTCCCGGGATTATAGGCATGCACCACCATGGCTGGCTAAGAAACAGCATGTTACAAGATGCACCTGCTAAGGCGAGTGGGACTAGGTTGTGAGATTACTTTTCCTGTGTAATCGTTACACATGCAGATGCACACGCACCACTGGATTCATTGCCTCTATATTTAAATCGCTCAAATAGCACAGTTATTGTTGAATACACTAGAGGGTGCTGTATGAACGCATTTGAATAGACATTGAATTGCCGACTCTCATTAGGTATAATAGAAATAATTTTTAATTAGCATAGTCACAAGTTGAGTTACTGTAAACCTGTGTTCACTTTCTTTTCATAGCCTACATGTATGGAGTTACCAGAGGAGCTGCTTCAACTCAGAGACTTTCAGAAGCAGCGCAGAGAGAGAGCTGCAAAGGAATACAGGATGAATGCACAAGGGCTCCTAATAAGAACCATGCTACATCCAAAGAAGTCAGAGACAGGAACAGCAGGGAAAGAGGAAAAAGTCAGAGATTCTAGGGAAGATAAGCCTCCAAGTGTGACATTCCCTGGATTTCATGAGGATGGGAGTTTTCCTAATGGAAAATTTCAAACAACAGTAAAATCTCAACATCTACCACCTGTACAGAGAGCAGAAGCCAGTGAGGGTTCCAGTAACAGATTTATTTACCCTGAGTCAAAAGGATTAGAGGATAAGAAAATAACTCAGACAGAACACTGTATGTTGCCGAAGCTTGAGTTTCCGGCAAGTTTTTCTTTGAAAGAAGAGAGACAACAGTCACTGATTCTCGAAGATAAGGAATATTTGTTGTCCACAAAACCGGATGTTTCTGCACCTCCTTTTCTTCCTCAAGAAACCAGAGCATCACTAAATGATACCTTTCATCCTTCCAAAGAAGCTGGGATTTCCACACTCCCTCCCTGTCCAGCCTTGGAGAAGATGGACTGGTAGATGAATCCATCTCTAGATCTGCCTTAGGGTGTGCGGTTTGCTTGAGGCTCTTTGGGAGTCTCATTTCCCCTGTCATCTGGGGCTTAATCAGTGCTTGAATTTCTCATGTTGTGGGTTTAGTTATGTCTCAGTGACAGGCCTCAGGAAAATTATATTCTCTTCCTGACTACATTCCTGGTATATGGATTAAGATGGGAATTAATACATTAATAAGAGAAGAAGTAAAATTTCTATGTCACAGTGCAGAAATGCTTCCAGTGGCCAGAGTAAATTATATCATAATTGGAGTTTAGAGGATTCTAGGGAGGGAAAAATCTTGGGCTTAGTATCAGGAAGAATATGCAACTTTAGGTATTTATTTATTTTTATTATTATTATTATTATTATTATTATTATTTTTTGGTACTGGGGATTGAACTCAGGACCTTATGCTTGCAAGGCACGCACAGAGCCACTGAGCTGAATCCCCAGCCCTGTAATTTCATATTTTTGTTCTGTTTTTGGCTTTTTGGTTGGCTTGAGGGGAATCCATATGATTTTTAGTTATCATAAGTTGAAAAAAATTGGTACCTGACTGTGTTACTAATATTGTTCTCTTTAAAGCGTTGTTTATACTTGAATTTGAAGGTTTTTATCTGTCTCAAGCCACATAAAAACAATAGTTAACGTTATAGGAATCAGTGTCTCAATTTAAATTTATTTCATTTAGAAGGAGTTTTTTTGTTGTTCCATTTCACTAACAAAACAAGGACCTGGGCTTCTTTTTAGTATATCTGTTATGTACACTTGAAAATGGACTTCATTATATTGGCCTGGAGTTGATCTATGTTCTTATAGTAAAAGAAAGGTGTGGAGGCACACACCTGTAATGCCAGTGCTCAGGGATGCTGAGGGAAAGAGGCTGACAAGTTCAAGCCCAGCCTGGGCAATTTAGCAAGACCCTGTCTCATAAGTAAAAAGTTAAAAAAAAAAGAGGAGTGGAGCTTACTGCAAAGGCCCTGGATTCAATCCAGAGTACTGTGCCTCTTCCCCCACCAGAAAAGGGAAGCTTGTATTAAGCCTTTTTTCATATTGTGTATTTACAAATTGCTCACATTCTTTTGTCTAAAATGACCAATAAACCTGTTTGGACATTAGGTTATCTCCTACTTTTCTTAATTGGGCCATGATAGATTTAGAATATGTCTGGATTTCTAGGTCTGGAGTACACTTTAGAAATTTATCATTTGACTTACAGAACTATATTACTTAGGGGAAACAGGGACATCCTTATCTGCAGCAGCTGTTTCTGTTCTGAGTGCTACTGAAAGAATCACTTTCCCTTTCCAGACCCCAGAACCCAGGTGTAGTCTGTGTTTAAGAATAATGCAGGTAAAAGCAACAACAACAACAAAAAACCCCACAACAATAAAACGTAGGCCCACTCAGATGTGGGGGCCTATGCTTGTGAGTCCAAAAAAAGAAAAGGGGCTGGGGATTTAGCTCAGTGGTTCCAGCGCCTGCCTCGCAAGCACAAGGACCTGAGTTTGATCCCCAGTACCAAAAAACCCCCCAAAACAATACAATTTATAATACAGTAAAGTCTCAAACATGATGTTCTTAATATATTTAACAAAATGTACGCAAAGCCTGTGTAGGAAAAACCACAAAATATTGCTGAGAGAAAATAAGCTAAGTAAATGAAAATGTATCATGAAAACTAGGTTATTTTAAAGATACCACTTTTTTCCAAATTGACCTATAGATTTATTGTAATCCCAATCAAAATTCAAGCAGGATTTTCTATAGAAATTGACAGAGTAATTCTAAAATGTATACGAGATGCAAAGAGATTAGCTAAGACAGTTTAGAAAAGGAATAAGGTTTGAGGATTTATTCTACCAGACTTGTAGACTTTACTATAAAGCAGCTGCAATTAAGTCAGTGTGCTAGGGCTAGGGTATAGCTCAGTGTTAGTGTCTGCCTAGCACAAAGGAAGCTCCATGGTCCATTCCCAGCAACTGAAAAAAATTGCTTGCAGAACAAGTAGATAATCTACAGGGGTGGATAATCAGAAGAAAGAGCCAACCCTGACTTCATATCCTACAAAAAGTTTACTTGGAACTGGGGTGTACTAGCAATGCCTGTAATTGCAGCACTCTTAGAGGGTGAAATGATGCAAGATTGAGCCCAACCTGGACAATATACTGAATAGGGAGACCCTGTCTTAAAAAAGTGTGAGAAGAGCCAGGGCTGTGGCTCAGTGGTGTTGCACCCACCTGGCAAGTTCAAAGTCCTGAGTTTGTACTGAAAGGGAAAAAAAGGGACGGGTAAGAGCCAGGCTTGGTGGTACACACCTGTAATACCAGCACATGGGAGGCTGAGGCATGAGGATCTCTGAGTTTGAAGCCGGCCTGGGCTACATTGTGAGTTCAGGGCCACCTAAACCATAAAGGGAGACCCTGCCTCAAAAAGAAAGCAAAAGCTGGTGTGGTGGTGCCTGCCTGTAATCCTAGCACTTGAGAGGCTGAGGCAGGAGGATCTCTGTGAGTTCAGGACCCACCTGAACTACAAAGGGAGACTCTGCCTCAAAAAAAAAGAGTGGGCTTGGAATGTGCATACTTTAGGTCTAGTTTCTAGTACTATAAAAATAATAAAATTTTAAAGATATGAATGAAAAACTAAAAGTATAAATATTTTCAATAGAAAAAGATCTTTATACATAATATTGGGATAGACAAATATTTCTTAGCATAGGAAAAGCACAAACTATAAAAAAACCCATGATTTGTATGAATTGGATATCATCAAAATTTGAATGTTCTTCTTGAAAGATACTGCAAAGAAAATAAAACATTTGCATCATGTTTTCTGAAAAAGGATTTTTATTCATTATATATAACGAAATCTTATTCTTGGGCCGGGGATTTATCCCAGTGGTTCTGCCGCCTGCCTCGCAAGCACAAGGTCTGTATTCAATGTAACTAAAATAAAGGACAAAATTAATATATATAGGAAAGAAACATGTGAACTGTTGGTTACCATATATGTTTAATGTTACCTTTACCCAGAGGAACTCCATTAATGACTAAGTAGGGATTACATACATGTACAAATATGTTACTTTAAAACTTGTTTTTGAGATCTGTAAGCCTAAGTCTTACTGATTCTTTAAACCTTAAAACCCCGAACGTAATATTAACATAATATTAATAATCCTGATTCAGGACAGAGGATATAAGAATGGTTTAAGGGTCTGAGCAATGGCCAACTTAAAATGCTACAAACAGGCAGCTCACAAGAAATCTGCAGAGAATCTGAAGGACTCTCTTGTAGTTCTTTATAAAACAAACAGTAAACAAGTTTTAAAGAATAGAAATCATAAAATAGACATGAATAAACTTAGAGAACAGAAAAACCAAGCTATTAAATTTTTAAACTAAAAAAAATCTGAGAATTAGTACCACTGAAAAAAACTATACTTAATACTGGAAAATATATTTTAAATAACAGTAAAAATAACTAATTTTGAAACATATGAATATGAAAGTAGCCATGAATTTCCTAACAGCCACAATTTTTGCATTGTATCTTGAAATGCATTTATGCTAGAGGAAGAATTAAGGGCAGCATCCAGTTGATCTGATGAGCTTTTCCTGGTCACAGTTGCCACATAAGCTTAAGATCAGGAGCCAAAGCTGCCAGTGAGAAATACACTCAATGTGGTGGGCCTTGAGGCCATGTCTGTCTGGCCAATTAGCAACAGCCTTGTGGAAGGCCAGTGGTGTAGGAAGGGGATCTCCCCAAGATATAATTTGTTGAGGCCACAACCTAGAGCAGGTCCCACAGTCAGATTATTCACATTCCTTGGAAAGAGAGAATAAGCATGAGTTGTGTTCATTGAAGACATTGCACAGGTGTACCCTGGACATTTTTTGAAATCTCTGGCTGCCCCTGCATCTTTCTCTGTTTCACTGTGGCAAGCGTGAGCTTCATATTGATTTAAAGTGTGTGGCCATATTATCTAAGGCAGAAACATGAGCTAGGAAATCACAACTAAGGCACACTAGAGTAATGCCCCTTGAGATCTTCTGAATGCTTCTTAAATATATAAAACCTTTTACTTGGATAGTTACTATAAAAACTCTTCATATGATTTACACAGGCTTTGCTACAGCTAGTGTTGTATTTGCAAAAACTACAGTGGATGTAGGTAGGAAAATGCTTTGCAAAATCTTTTATTTCAGAACAACACTCAATGCACTTGTGAACACCCCGGCAATACCTGAAGTTTCTCAATGCTGCATTAATTTTACTGTTTTTATTGCTATTAGCCAATGTGCTTGTTTCTTTTGCACATTAGAGATTTCTGATTAGTATTTAGACTTACTTCCATTAGATTTACTGGCATTAGATTTGGGTGCATTGGGTTTACTTGTGTTTAATTTTGTGGGATTTTTTGCAGTTATATTTTTTTTGTCCTTGGAGGTGAGAGCTGAAGGGTAGAAGGGCTTGCACTAATAGAAGGTGTAGGTGAAGATCCTGATTGAAGAGGTGCAACTGAAGCTTGAATAGTAACTTTTGTTCCCGGAGCAAACCTTCTAGTTGTTTAGGTTTTTAAATAAGTGTTCCATGATGTTGGGTCTTTATGATGCAGTTTTTCCTTGCATGTCAAAAATTGCAGCCTGCATTTTGTACAATGATGTATTCCTTTTTTTCTGATGTTCATATAATGATGCATATAGGGTGTTGCAATTTTAATAATAATTTTGAGGCAAAATGGACACGGCAAGTTCTTAGTGTTTTTGTGCGCTGTCCTAAAATGAGCTTCTGCGTCAGAAAATGATGATGATCTATAACTGCAAACCTGGCAGATACCTGGCATTTCACTGGGTTTATGGTTGTCCTTCATATGTTGGAAAAGAACACGTTCTGTTTCAAATGATAATTTACAGATTCATGAGGGGTGTGAGTACTTTCTGTGTGGCACTGCAGCTGAAAGGGTGTGGGGAACAGGCGATGGCAATGCTGGCAGGTGGTGTGGTTTCCCCAGCTCTCACTGCTCTGCTTTTCAAGTTCCAAATGGCGTTTCGTGTGGTTCATGAACCAAATATTATTTTTTAGACTTTTGTGGGGGGTACCAGGGATCAAACTCAGGTCCCTGTGCTTACAAAGCAGGCGGCAGAACCACTGAGCTAAATCCCCGGCCCTATTTTTTAGAATTTTGAAGCAACGGAAGCATTTAAAGGTTGTGTTGAGTCTTCTGTTCTTCCTGGATATCTCCTTCATGCTTTCCATAATAAAAGTCATTAACTAACATGATCAATTTTCCTTTCTCTCAATCAACAGACTTATTTGCTGTGTTTGAACGTTGTTTTATTTCTGGATATTTGTACCTAGTTTTTGCTTTGTT